TTAGTAGGCAGCACATGGCTCAGAAATGTCCTTGAGTTTGCTAAATGCTTAATCAACATCTACATCTGTTTATCCATGTTAACTGATGTTAACAGAAAACAACCAGAGGAGTCTGTTTACGTCAGCAAACCTAAAAGGAAGTTGATTTGTTCCTTTTGGAAAACTATAGTTTCCAAACCTTTTTAAGCTTTGCTTTTATATCACTTTTCAAAGTTTGCTTATTGGGCTTTTAGAAATATAAAACAGGATTTCCTGTATCTCATTTAGTGTGTATTAATCTATTTTCTACATATAAAACAGAGCTGATACTGACTCCACTATTTTCTCCGACAATGGGGGATATTTAGTTTTCTGCCGATGCAGTCGGTTAAAACTCCGCCTGAGTGTGAAAGACATCTCTATATCCTGTTTTCAACATGCATGCACGATAATCCTCCGTTGCCTTCAATTGCATTCCTCTAACCGAGCATGTTTATCTTTGTTTCAGCGACAGACTCGAGCTGTCACATCATCAGGGTACCTCGATTTGTCATTGTTTGTCACCGGAGAGAAACCCTGCTGCTGTTTTCTTTCTTTTTCCTCTGAGCAGAGTGGTTTTGTGCATCGAGTGTGTCTAAGTCAAGCGTTTAAGATTGCAGCTGGGGAGGAGGTTTGTTTGGGTTGCTGTGCTTTCCGGTAGAGAGGAGACAGAGAGATTAGGCCAAAGAGAAATGAGAGGAGAGTGTCTCTGCATGTGACTGCAGTTGAAAAGGTCCAATTCCATTTTCATGAATATTTTCTAACAGGAAGGAGCAAAGAGCTTCATCGTATGAAGCTCAGGTAAACCCACAGAGAAAAGTAAAAACATGTCTTTTTGTGGGGAATAACTGGAATCGAAGGTTGTGCAGAGAAGTTATGGGTAGTAAGCAGCCTACTACACAGTCAGAGGAACTTTGCCCTCTAATAAACAAACTAAAAACACCTGGAAGAGCTTAGCTAAGCAGCTAAATATGTTTTTTTCTTTCAACTCTGCTATAGAAAATAATTTGCATGCCCTCCATGCTCATCCTTCCATGCAGATCTGTGCTAAAGTGATCCCTCTGGCTGATCCTGTGTAGAAGAAATCATCCTGTGAAGGTAGCTAGAAATTTACATCAAATAGATATATAGGTGTATAGATTAAGATATTTAAAGCTTGTAAAGGAAGTGGCGTTTGCAGCTCCAGAAAGTTGAAAATTAGTTGTTTTTTTTATTGTACTGCAACAAACAAGATTAGCACCTCAGCAGCTGTAAACAGGACCCGTCCTGACCCACTCTGTTGTGGTGAGATTTAGACCAACTTGCAACTATGGCAGAGATTCAAGCCATATTTCTTCAGTTCAATGTTCCTGAGAACCTAACCGGTCATTTTAAAGTCTTTCCAGCTCTCCTTACTCTTTGCACTGTAGTGCTAGAAAGTATGAAGCGTCGTTATAAGAAGGGATAAGAAGTTATGTTCAGGATGGGTTGCATGTGTAAAATAGAAAAAAAAGGGTTGAATGACAAATCTCCCACTTCCTGTTTATACAGGGAATCTACAGGCGGAAGTTCTGTCTCTGTCTTCTTGCTAAATATTTTAAGCTCTTAAAGTGGACGAAGATATCTGTGAGCATTAATTTTAACTCTTGCCTCAGATTATCAGTTCGATTTAAATCTGGACTTTGACTAGGCCATTATAATATTAATATGCTTAGATCTAAGTCTCTGTCTGCATGTTTAGTACGGCTGCAGCATATGAGGAAAACATGAATTAGAAGATCGCACTGGTTAGAGCTACTAACACAGATCTCCATCTCTATATCCCTACCAAATGGACAGTTTTCATAATTTACTTCATATAAATTATATTACTTTCAACGTACATGATACTATTCATGTTATTAGCTTTATTCTTGCTTAGAGTAAACTACACAATATTTTCCCCAATTTTGTATCCAGTTTCCAGTAGAGGAAAGCCTGCATTAGGCAAGATTGATTTTGGACAGTCAGCACTAAACTGGAGGAAAACTGGAGGCTGCAGGTTTGAGAAGAGAAACAAAAAGGCCTGACCTCAGATACAGTCAAACAAAAATGTTTGAGCCAGATCCAACCACATGAGAAAAGATCACCAACCCAGCTGTAAACACCTATAGCAACAGCCTGGGACACCTTAACAGCGATCTAACCATACAGCATTATAAATGTCAATAAACTGGCCATAATACACTATCAACTAATCTTTACAAGATTAGATCAACTCTAAATAAGAATCTGCTCCTGCAGTCTTAAAATGTTCCAGCAATCACCTTAAATGTCCTTATAGTTTTTTTTTTTTTTCATGTCTAATCTTTTTATCTTACAGTTATGTAAGGCTGACTTAGCTTTTTATACCTACTGGAATGCCCTCCAGTCTAAACTGCAAAGTAAAACAGAGATACTCTGATACTTAAGGCTAAGTTAAAAATGAAGGAAACCAAAGATTCCACTTATAAAACAGAGAAATGAGGGCATAATTCAACACATCAGCATTTCTGAATAAAAAAAATTGACTGTTTTGCAGCCCATTATCTAAAACACCTAGAAGCAATGTAAGGACTTCAGAATGGAGATTATATGCTCCACTCTCTCAGTTCTAGTGAGGATGCAGGCAGCAGCATTTATAGGGGCGGAGCTACCAACCAGATCATTAAGTGTTCCTGTATCAATGTAATCCACCTGCTTCAGAACAAGCAGTTCTTCTCCAAACCAGAAGGAGGCAGCAGTGATACTCTCAATTGGAACCTCCTGAATGCTTAGACATTTTAACTTTTAAACACACAGTATATAATTATTCACATGAATATACTAACATCAAAAATTACAAACACAGAATTGGAAAGAAGAGAAAGTTATGTTTCTGCCTACATCTAGGAATATTTTATGCAATTAAAAGCCACTGCTTTTAAAGCCAATTAAGCCTCTGCTCAACTTCTTTGTTGTCTGTCATGCAGAACCATAAAACGTCAATTTTGACAAAATAAATGTTTTAATATGTGCATTTTTTATTCAATTGGACTTTATGAAAATCTAGTCTAAAAATGTGACCTATTTTTTATAACCCTGCTGTGACACTAGTCAGTATCCTTAAAAAATATATTTTGCTCAACTTTAATTTATTGTTTAATCTTCCTGTGGGATTAATGAAGTATTTTTTTTAATTGAATTTGTAACTACCTCTTTGTTTTATACCAGTCTTCTTCTTTTGACATTGATTATGTCAGGCAATGATTCTTTCAATCTATAGAAGATGCAAATTAAATATAACTTGGCTGATTTTAGTTGCAGACTGAGAATTTACAATAAAAATGTAGGACTTCCTCCCCTTAGCTAGATTACAGGAAACTCAGGAAGCTACTGAATCTAATGTGGTGTTATACTGAACAAAATTTTGATTATTTCTGCAACCAAACATCCTCCCTTCCACACTTCCAGCTCTCTCTGTCATTGTGTCAGTTTTACGGTCCTTCTTATAAAAGGCAGCGTCTGAATGAGTTTAATAAGCTGAGAAGTTTTAATGAGCTCTGACTGGGTGGATGGCAGACCGGGGACCAACCAGGTGATCAGGAATCACTGCTATAAAATCAGCCCAGACGTTAAATGGGGACCAACAACTGCTGCCTGTTCAGCTGAGAGAAGGCAATAAATACATAACAGCAGAGGAGGATCACTGCTCTGAAACAGTTTTTAGATTATTAAATGACTGAGGACAAAAAAAGCAATGGAAATATATGATAACAGGTTAATAATGTGTCAAACATTCAACTATTTTAAGAAGTGATGCTTCAAATCCCACCATTGATTATTTAAACTCCCTGATTTATTTATTTTATTGAAAAGAAAAAAATAAAATAAATAAAATTAGTGGCCCTACAAAAAGGGAGCACAGTAAAACAAATCTTATTTCATATTCATAAGAAATAACCCCTTACCCTCTTTTGGGTGGCTCATCTTTGATATGATGGTGGAATAAATGAGCAATCAGATGTGTAATCAAATGGACATTAAAGTGGTTAAAGCTTAACATTTGATCTGGAATTGAAGATGACAAATGAACAAAACAAAACACAAAAAACTTACACACACACTATTTTATTTTACAATTCTTTTTCTTAAATGATTTTATTTTAATTATCTTATTCATTTTCATTAATCATCTCTATGCCACTATAATGTACCTTTCTTTCATGCACAGCAGTTCCAGTTGAGCTCAAATGTTTATAAACTTTCACTGCTGCCCTCTAGTGGTCAGATTTGAGATGGCAGCCTCACAGATGGGACAGATTTAGTTTTTTGTCTTGAACTAAGCAACTGATGTTACATTGTAAACTAATTTTCCCTTAAAGAAATCTTTAATTTAACCATATTAGCTATAAGTAGTGTTGGATGCAACTGTGCTACATGTGTTATCAGTCTACTGGCAGTTTAGGATTAGTGAACATATGACTCCCTTATTAGTGAACAGAAAACTGCAGCAGGCTTTTATTTCTAATGAAACGCTTTGAAAATATTCTCATCAGATGAAGTGTTTTGGGGATTACATATTGTGCTTATGTGCCCCACTTTATGTGTGTATGTATAACACTTAACCTACTGCATGATAATTCAAGGTTTTAACACCATAACATTTGTAAGACTCAAATGTGAACGCTTTAGTTTTGCATTCAGTGCAAACGGTTGGAAAACTTCTAAAAATACTCAATACCAGTTTTATATTCTTTATATTGATCTTATTTTATGTCAACTCAAGAAGGCAGCTGGTTTATAATCCTTGCATTAATTTTCCACCATAAAGCTGAATAACAACCTAAGGATCGCTTTGAAATAGAAAATTCATTCAGTTTGTTCATATTTGAGTGATTTTTCTAATCAGTATAAAAAAATAAAAAATTAAAGGCAAAAGGTTAATAAAAACTGACTGACCTTAAAACTGGAACTGTAAAATGCAGCAAATAAAGAGACAGGGGGACTTTACAATGTACAAGTTTATTTTTAATGAACTCTTCAGTGGTTGGTAGTCACAGCACAGCTTGCATGTATTAAGCCACACACCTATTTTACAAGATGACAGGAAAGAACTGAAAAAAAAAAAAAAAGTCTAAACCAGAGCAGACAGCCGTCAGTCCATCTGCAGTTATCTTCTCTTAAACTTGTTTTACTAAAACTTCCTTAAAAGGCCACTGAAATGCATAAAATGTTGAATGGAACAGCTGATGGTGGCGTTTCGTTTTAACCCCAAACGAATCCTCACATGGCATCGACAGTGCATGTAGACAATGTAGAAAGGACTGGGTTAGCAATATCTAAGATATTCAATTCTTTTTTTTTTTTGTCAAACATTTTATTTAAGTGACAATATCTTGCCTATAATACTACAGCTTTTTAAAAAGAATGGGAAACAAAACAGCACTCATCCAAGATACTGAATACAATAAAAGTGAAATGTAGTGAAGCGATAACTCTTTAGATTTCACTATTATATGAACCAAAAAAAAAAACAAATAAGAAAACAAAAACGTCATCCCATAAAAGAGACTACTGTGTCTGATTTCCTTAAACTATAAAAGAAAAATAATTAAAAACACACCTCTTTGTCCTCTGGAATTTGTATAGTTTTTAATAGTAACAGACGGGATCCATAAACGCATGCCATGTGCTGCTCTCAAACAAAATACGTACAGGTATATACAGAATCACTCAGTACCTGCTAAAACAAAGTGAGAAATATATAAACAGACTACAAACTTAAAAGAAAAAAAAAAGGAGAAGAAATGGAGCGATGGAAGCGTCAGGAGTGGAAATCCTACATGTGATGAACTCATTAAAGCATTTTTTTTTTTAAGAAAGAAAGAAATGCATATTGCACATACAGTGAAAGCTTAAACTCCACCAGATCCGCCAGAATTCATTTTTTTTCCCTCTTGGAGGAAGACGCACAGAGGTACGAAAACAGGGGGAGGGGGGGGAGATGATGTGTGCTTGTGATCTGCGAGCCTGATTGGGCATGGGGGGGTGCATGGGGCGCAAATAATAATGATAAATTAGGTGCTGGAAGTAGCGCTTTAAAAAAGGGGAGGAGGAAATCACACCGCACACAACACAGAGAGGAAACAGGAGCAAAAAAACAAATAAGAGTGGCACAAATAAAATCAGGTGAAGGATAATATCTGTTCATCAGTGATAGCTGAGAGAAAGGAGATTGATGCAAGTGTTTTTCTTCTTATGTACAACTAAGGCTTATTGGTTAAATAGTTTTCAGGCTTCTCCGTCCACGTCGCTCTCAAACGCTTTCTCCTTTTTGCTCTGTAAACTCAGCGCTTCTATCAGAACAGCGGCCACACCGATCAGGAGGACTACAGCCCAGGGAGGATGGAGGGATGGATGGATGGAGGGATGGATGGAGGCTGCAGCGGTGGTGGTGAGGGAGCAAAAAAGGGAGAGCTTGGGGAAACAGAACAAAAGGAGGAGTCTCGTCTCTGATGTCTGTTGCAATTAATATCTATATGTGCAATTCCATTAGTTGCTGCCATGGGGGGGGACAAGCGGGTGCAGAAGAAGGGGCGGTCGAGGGCGGGGTCTGTTTCTACTTGGAAAGCTTGCTAATGACGCGAATGAGTGCTCCGTTCTCGTCCTTTAGTCTCTGGTTGTCTGCTTTCAAGTCAGGGAGCATCTGAAAGGGAAATAACGGGAAAATTTGGGGGGGGGGGGGACAGGAGGGAGGAAGAGAGAGAAAGCTTAGAGGAGTTTCAATGCGTGGTTCAAACATTAAGGCATCCATTAACAGTCAGAATTCACACAGCATTTCATGGGTTTTGTTTGTCAAAATATAAGATTGACATAACAGTTTTGATCCAAGGCAAAGGAGAGGGGGGGAGGGGGCACACCACAGGCCAGAGATCCTCAGAAAGCCATGCAGAATCTGAGCGGCTGCTAATCAGCAGCCAGCGGGGGGGTGGAATGGACCTCCTAAAGCGGCTGCAGAGTCAGAGGGTTGATTCTACAACATGTAGACCAACTTTTAACCGTCTGAACTCAGCGGCTCGACCTGAGTGAACACTAAAGGTCCAGCTGGGTGTAAAATCTACAGTTTTAAGAGTCAAATCTAATAAGAATGGACCGAGGGAACATGAATGAACAATGTTTCTCTCACTCAGTTTAAGAGATTTTACTAGAATCTGATTTATTTCCCCAAATATTTACTGTAATTTTGTTACAAATATTTTATTTATACTCTTTGTTTGTGTCTCATGGGTTGTGTTCTAATGAACTATTATGATGTATAATGTGTGATTCATCTTTTATTAACTCTTGCTGAAGATCGTTCCAGATAAAGGTCATGCAACGGACAGGTTGTAAACAGGCCTGAACATCCTCTATCACATGTTTCTTCTAAACAGGTGTTCTTGGAACAATCCGATTGTAAAACAACCACATGCTTTGTTTTAACATATGTGCTGAGGTTTAAAGTAAGATCCTTTTGTTTCCCTTCCCTTTAGTTAAACCTCAGCTGGTGTAATTAGGGACATCCCCTTTTCTGCAATAAATAGCGAGGAGAAAGCTGAAGACTGCAGAGTGGGGTGGAGATTGTAAACTCCGCAGTCTCTTCCTACTCTCCTCACGAGTAACTAAATTAATTGTCTCTGTGCCTTCTTTCTTTTCCTGTATATATGATGTTTTAGGTGCTTAGACCTGACAAGTTTCAATCCAAAACAAAAGGTTAAAACATTTCATTTCCATAGTTTTTATCTAAAGAACTCAAAAGCCTAGGAGTGAAAGAGAAGAAAAGCCTATATTCATAACCATCTGATGTTCATAATGTTTTCCGTATGCTCCGACTATTCAAAAAAGGTTTCTTCTCACTGAAAAAATGTCTAAATAAAATGAAAATATAAAAGAAATTCAGAGCTGCAAAAGGAAATCAGCCCTTTAACTCTTCCACATGCTGTTGCCTTACAGCCACAAATTTTACTGAGCTTCAATGTGATCAGCGCATAATTTGGAAGTAAAAGAACGAAGATGGCCACACTTTTTGGAATCATTTTACAAATAGAAAAATCTAATTATAAAATATTTTTCCTTCCCGTTTCCCAGGGTGCATCTACAATTTATTTTACATCTGCAGTCAAATCTTTGACCTCTTTGAAGGCAAATAAAGACGCACGTAAAGGTTGCAGAGCACCGAAGTCGCTGTTATCTAAAACAACTGGTTCCTATCAACCCCTCTGAACTCTTAAAGAGAAGCATCCCCATAGCATGATGCTGTCACCACCATGTTTAACCATGTGGTTGATGAACAGCAAGTCTTCCTCTTCATGTAGGACATTTTTCTTTTTGACCGTTTGCAAAATGTGCGAAAATTGAAGCATTATAAATACAAAAGGTCCCAGTTTGTTGGCTGGCAGGGGGACGGGTTCAGTTTGATACTCTGGGACAAATGAAAGAGATGCTGCAGGTAGCTAATTCATGCAATAAAAACCAGAGGAAGTCAAAGTGATGGACTGAGCTACCTCAGAGGAAAGCATCAAACTAGAAACCACAAAAAGGACACTTTCCTTTCCAGAGCTTTCAAACATTTCTGGGAATTTAGATGCACGTCTTCCTTTGTCACTCACCTAAGCTCTCATCAGATCTTTTTGGCATATTTATTAGCGGTAGCTTTTGGAAAGTCCCTGACAGTAGCAGACTGTAAAAGGAGAGTGTCCTGCTGTATAAAGCAAACGGCCTCCCCAATCTGAAAACCAAAAGCTTTGGGGAGGCAGGAGAGGATCAAACAGTCAGAGTAGGGCGGCTGGACACCTGCCTGTCTACGGGTGCGGGGCAGAGCACAAATGGAGCATGAGAAGAAAGAGAGGGAGGGGATAAAAGAGGACAGAAGGAGAAGATGGTGGTGGACAGACAAACGTGGCTTAGAGGTCGCTGGCGGGCAGCTGGCTGCAGGCCGACTGTGAGAGCTTGGCCACCACGCGGGCCAGGGCCCGGTTCTCAGCCTGCAGCCGCTCCTTAACTTGCCGCAGGGTCTGAACCTGCTTTACCTGGGGGAGGTTCTGCAGGGAGGATGGGGTGGAGAAGAAAGACAAAAGGGGAGGAGACAGAGGGTGAGAGTGGCAGAGGAGAAATGTGTTTAAAGACAAAAATCAACAAAGGATTTATAAATAAATCAAGGAGGGAAGAGGAGGAGGAAAAGGGGGAAACAGAAAAGGAAGAATATTAGAAAATGGGACAGATTCAGAAAACAGGAATGATTAAAAGCTTTCTGGTTTAGCATGATGCTTGGAGACCAAACGGTAAAGTGACTCTAAGAACCAAGCAGCCCAACAGCTAAAAAAAATCCTTCAATCACACTTCTAAGACAACAGTCTTACCAGGAGTTTAATAGATCGCTTTAATCCTCTCTTCTTTCAGTCAGTTTTCCAGCAAAGGATTAAATAATCTCACTTATCAATAGAGGAGTCTAAACACTGATGGTCACAGATCACATCAAGTAGCTTAAAATGTTCAGATAAGAAGAAACAATCTAGAATTGAGGATTAACTGAGTAGTTAGTTAAACCTTAACAGACTTTTTGTTTAACATGTTTCTGCATCTGGAAACCCCTTTGCTTATTTGATTTCTGTAGCAGTAACCTCACAATGGTGCATCTTAGATAATTGAAAAGATTTCTCAGAAATTTTTATTTAAAAAAATCTTTCTGTTCATTTTGATAATTATGGTAAAACTAAAATCATCGAGCCGTTTCTGCTGCTTTTAGACACCCTCACATTTTTTTCCTTCCATTCAACTTTTCAATGTGCATCATGGACAGATTTAAGCATCTTTAAAAGCTCAACCTTTCTCTGAATTTAAACAAAACGGAACGAAAATGAGCAGAAAGAAAACGGATCACTTTAGAATTTTAGCAAAAATCCATCTTAGGAAAATCCAAAAGCAAACATTTGATGCTTGTGGCTTTATTCTCCAGCCAAAACCTTAAAAATTTAAAATAATACATCACCATGTGGAATATATCTATATCAAATAAACTTCTTAATTCCAAACAATTGTATTAAGATCTAGCATCTATATGTTGCTTTTATTGATGAACCAATCAGTCAGGGATCAGATCCAAGGAATATGTTTTGGCTATGATCTCTAAGATGCAAGCCAAAAACTCAACAATCGGTTTTATTTCCCATCCGTATATCAAATGCATTAAAACTAAAAACTCCCACTTTTTGTGGTCATTGAACTCACTAACAGGACAGCTTATTATTTGAAGCATGGTGTTTTAAAAGTGTGTCTGTATCATTTACCTACTTTACTTTCTGTGACATCTAACTTAACCATTTTTCTCCCCATGCTTATTGTTTGTTGGGTTAAAAAGTAAACAGATGATGAAACATCTTAATTGGAAAATTTCCTGATCCGCTGGTGAGATCTGGAAGAACACTGGGAGTCATTACTGGGCAATAAAACCATAAATCTGTCGTTTTTAATGGACATACAGGTCTGACAATAAGAAATCTGATTTGCAGTTTTCTGGATGCTGAACAGATCTTGCATGAGCAACATCAGGTTGTCATAGCAACAACTTTGGTGCTGAAGCTGTACTGACAGCTAGATCTAGTTAAAAAAAAAGCATTTTTATTGTTAGATTTCTGTATAAATAGATTTATTTTTTATTCTATTTCTTCTTTTTATGGATAAAACTCTGAATGTTTATGTCTTCTTTTTTTATTGGGAATACAGATTGAAATGAGCTTTTTGCTAAAAGTGACACACTTGCAACATAGTCCCAGTTAAATAAAAATCAGATAAATGCTGAGCACATTTCTGAAAAGTGTTTTTTTATCCCGTCTACCTCAGATGAAGCTTCAGAAAAACAATCTCCCACAAACCTCAGATCTGTGCATCTCTGATTACCAAATTCCTAACTTAGCGACACAGACTCCTGCTGTAGTAAAACACCTAACGGTCCATTCATGCATGTAACGTTTGGTACCTTAAGTTCCTCCTCCATCTCAGAAATCTTCCTTTCTAGAGCTCTTCTTTCCTGTTGGGAAAAGAGAGGCTGGTTTAACACTGAATCAGACCAAAAAGCAGAAGAACCCATCAGCAACGTATTTAACACGCCGTGGGAGAGGGTGTCTGGTGATCACACACTTCACTCGCATGTCCTGTGAGGGGTGTGCAAGCAACAGCCAGTTCAGGCCTAATCAGTGACTAAAACTGGATTTAATATTCTAAATAGTGACTGTAAATCAGAAAATGACTAAAATAAATAATCAAATGACTGGGAAAAAAAAAAAAAAAATCACCAAATTGATAATCTTAAACTGATGGCTATGATTTCTATTCGGCTGGGTTTAAAGTTAATAAAACTGAAATAACTTAAAAAGTAAAAGGTTGAAAACACATGCAGTGGATTTTTTTTTTATTGTATTTTAGCACAATATCTGAAAGTCATTTCCACACATTAAAAACAGTTGAAAATAAAGAGTCTACAGAGGTGGCGATCACACACTGCCACTAATGTTTCAAAACAAGTGGAAGGAGAAGGGAAAAAAAAATAAAGAATAACAAAGGTGGCAGCGTTCTGAGTGGAGAGCCTGACTGATGGCAGCTACCACAGCATAAGTGACCCTACAGGCAGCAGCAGAGAGGAGGCCGTTACAAAAACTCATCATACCACCACCCAGCTGGTAAGGGGGCCTGCTTGTTACCTTCAGACATAAACCCATTAGCAGTGTTACTAGGATGTTTGAAACATCCATGAGTCAAAAAAACTGAAAATTATTAAAAAAAAACTAATTCTCATTAGTCTGAGACACACATGAAAGGATCTACTGGGTTTAGTTCATGGTTATATAACAGAGGCTGGTTGGTGAGGAGTTTCTCTCATTACCCTTTTCTCCATCTCAAGCTGGGATCGGTCAGTGTAGCGTTCCTGCCTCTGCGTTTAAAAAACACACATCATTAAACTCCAATCGCAGCACAAATGCGTTTTGAATGAAGAAAAGTGAAAAGTGTGCGTACCTGTGTGGCTTTCTCTAACTGTAACTTCAAGTCTGCCAGTTCCAGATCAGTGTCGCGTAACTGAGCCTTCAGCTTCTCGTTTTCAGCTAAGATCTGCTCATAGAGCTGAGAAAAAATAAGAGAACTTCAAATCCTGTTTAGAGTCTCATTTAGCATGTCAGAACACTCGTTCAGCAGTTAATGTTATTATTGTGAATGGTTTGACCTTCCTTTCTTGATAAACTGACAGTAAAGTTTTTTGTTTTGTTTCTGATGGTCTCATAATTTACTGCAGGGTTCCTACAGCATAAGGCAAGTTAAATTCAAGACTTTTTAATGCCACTTGAAATAAAAATTTAAGACCAAATTCACAAGAAACAAGAAAAACCTGCTTGCGACAACTTAACCCAAAGGTTTATTTTAACATAAACCACTGCACTAATGTTTCAAATTTTGAAAAGCTTCCCATACAGGAAGAAAGCTAAAAACACACAAATGACAGATATATTTTAATAATTATTTAACTGAATTCACAAACTTTGTTTTGGAAGGGAACAAAACAAATCAGTTTTAAAGCCTCAACATAACCAGTGCTAAGTCTTTTTTGCAGCTATTTTTCTTTGTATCGTTTTCTTAGTATGTTTTATTTGGTGATAAGTGGACAAAACCGAGAAATACCGGCTGTTTCACGGTAACTCTATTTTGACGCTTTGTGTTTCGCGCTTCGCATGTGTGACTCCACTGCCTTAATTCCCATCCTTCTGAGCTTGAATGACTTCTTGCACAAAATCCACTGAGCCTCATGTATGTTCCCTGGTTTTAGCCATGTAGAAAACTCTTGGCTGGAGCCAATTTTGGTGACATTTACACTTGCTCATATTTTCAAGACAAAAAGTTAATGGCGCATCTCCCAAATGTCCCGGCCGCAACAACGCTTTTATTGGTTCTGCTGTCGGGACGGAACCAATAATGGCGAGCCGTTATTTTTTTTAGATAAAAAAAAAAAAGAGTAAATTTTAATGTTTTATTTAGATTACAAAAATTATTTATGATGTTTTAAAAATTAAGACCTACGAAAGACTGATTTAAGACATTTTAATACCAATTAAGGCCATAGTTTTATTTTGAAGAATTCAATGCCTTTTAAGACCTTTTAAGGACCCGCGGGAACCCTCTGCTGATGTTTTAAAATTTTGTTTGAGAATCAAGTTTACGTCTAAACTTGAGGATTTGATGCAGAGTTTGGGTTCATCGATCCGTCGATGGCTCAGAGCAGCATTTTAACCGATGGCCAAATCTGGAGTAGGGTGAAATGAGCCCAAATCATCAAACCTCATCAAACATGCTGCTACTAGTTTTCTTTAAAATGTGCATTAACGCTTCAAATCTCTACTTCCTGGTTGCTAATTATTTCATTTTCTGACCAATATGTCAACCAGAAGGATTACTTGAAGGATTTCAAAAGGGACATAAATGGCCTTCACGTTTCATATGGTGTTAATATCTTGTTGTACTGAGGGTTATGACATCAAGAGATCACTCGTAAATAAAGACTACCTTTTTGTAATCAGTGGTGTCGTCTCTATCCAACCGGCTTGAGTACGGCCTTCGACTCTCACCATAACTACGGGTATAAAGAGCATCGTTGCGATCTAAATATGAAGTGCTCTCATTTCTGAAAAGAAAATCAAGAGAAAAGAAACATTAGAAAATAAATACGTAAAAAAACAAACATAGCAGAACAACAATAGAAGAGAAAATTCCTTTATTGTCCCATAATGGGGAAATTGTGTTTTTTTTACAGCAGCAAAAGGTTGTAGTAGAAGTGGTCACACAATGTGGACCAAAGAAAAAAAGAGTATAAAAAAGTAACAGACGGAAAAATAATACAAATAGATTAATGTACTGTACAGTTTTTTTACAATATAAATACTGTGTATCTAAAGAATAAAATCAATCAATATCAGCTGTGGACATTGTCACAGTAATGGATATGTGAAAAATAACAAGATATGATGATGCAGCTTACCTGGACAATCTGTCGCTCTGTAAGACAATAAGAAAAAAAGTTTAAGTTAATATAACATTTAAAAGAAAAAGTTAAATTCTGACCAGCCTGAATAATGCATAAATAAAATGCAGGACTACCAAGTTTATTCTTAATATTTGCTTTTATTTAGCAGTGCGTTAGTAGTTGGAAAATCCCTGATCGAAATGACTTCCTGTACGTCTGAGACGCAGCGATAAAAGCTTGCTTCCTCTTTAGCTGCTGCTCCACCCGTCGTAAGTGACGGCTAACAGCTGGTGTTCCTCTTCTTGTCCCTGATGGCCGACTTCAAACAACAACTGTCCGTCTAGCCTTCTTCTCTCCAAACAGGAAGTTCACCCAGGAACTAATGAGATTATAAAACTGCCCTTTTCTGCCTAATCCTGCAGTGGACAGCATGGAAACCACTTCTTTAAGAGGTTTATTTTGTTTGGATTAAAGTTAAATTGCTACATGATTAGATTTTAAAACCTTAAAAAAAATCCCTTCTTTAGATCTTTTCTGAATATCCACTAAAGCTTAGTGTCTTTGATTTCTAAGGTCAGCGAAGCAACAGACGATCAGAGGAAGGTGATAAAAATGGGAGAGAGGAAAGTCAGTCGTAGCTATAAAGGATTCTATAATAGGACTGCTTTGATTGGACGGACAGGCTGAGGTCCCCTCTTCCTGTCCTTACACTGTCAGGTTAGGTACCTGTGAGTCTCCTTTGGTGCTGCCCTCCTCCGAGTCAGACTGCTGCTCCGGGTCATTTTCATCACCCTGGAATATAAAATCACACAGAAAGGGGTTGCAGCCATGTTTGATGTCCCGACCTGCAGAAGCTGAAATTATTATCAAAAAGAGGTTTTACATCTTGAGTCCAGAAGGACACCCCAGTGGAGCGCCTCTTCTCGCGGGGCCGCCTGCGATCCCGAATGGAGCGGGGCTGAGACTTGTCCTCCCCTTCCTTTTCCTCATCCCTTCTGTCCGCTTCTATCATTCAACAAGACATTTTGGGTTCACTATTCACCAATAATACTGCATTATTCACTACCGTAATTTATCTCTAAATCTAAACATTTCATTTTGAAAATATAAACAAAGCATATCAAAAATCTAAATTTCAGCAATTATACACTGTTTATAGGGGAGGGGTGTAATTTTACTGTATGGGTTGTGAGTTTACTTATTCTATTCAGTCTTATTGTATTATATTTTCCTCTATCTCTTCTATCGATCTTTTCTGTGCACTAACAGAAAATAATTTTGCGCAATTGTTAGATAAAGCTGAATGTGTTTATAATCAACTTCAAGGCAGCTTTGGAACCGATGGTAAATAGTCTTCCTTTAAGCTATAATCTGCTTTTTTGCTGACAATCAATGTGTCAGATCCAACTAATAAGGTTGGAATATTTTAGGTTATGAAAACAAAGTAAAAAAATTAAAGTTTGCTTTGGAGAAAACTTTCTGCCAGTAAATAACATTATCTGCAGCGTTTCAAATCAAAATGTGCCACAAACGTCACAGACTCACCCTTTTCTGCTTCTCGAGAGGATCTGCTATAAGATGAGGTGATTCCCGTCAGACTGTTGGGCCTGTTGAGGGAGCTGGAGGTGGAGGACAACGACGAGCTGGAGTACGGAGTTGTGGAGGCAGTGCTGACGGATGAAATGGCAGAGGACGAAGACGACGGCCGATAACGCTGGAAGGAGAACCATTAATAGAATTAAATACGGCAGCCTGAATGAGGAGAGGCATACAAAGACAAAGCAGGTACCTCTTCAAAGCTCCGGTACTTTGATCGGTAATCATCCTCCTTAGTCTCAGTCTCCTTCTTCTCCTCCTGCTGTTTCTCCTTGTCCTGCTTCTCTTTCTCCTCCTTCTCCTCCGTCTTTTGCGGACGACTCCTGCCGATTGTTTTTTCAGCCTCTTGAAGGTCAGTCAGAGTCACGCCCTGAAGAAACAAGGAAACATTACTTTTACTTTTGGATCCGTGGCACTAAAGTTATCCAATGTTACACAGAACTGTTTAGGTTTATATTTTAGTGATTGAATGCTCCACTCTCCATTTTTTTATAAATGTATTTTAATGAAAATACATTTCCTGTTTACTGTCAGCATTGCTGAGTAATTCACCTGTGTGGACCTCCTCGACTGGCGGGCCTGTCTGGATCGAGCTTTCCTCTGAGACTCCGACTCCTCGTCTCGCACCGGTGTCAGGTACGACCTGTCCACGACAACAAAATGAAAAGAAAGAATTTAACCACTAATCTGATGTAAGAAATCTAATTCATATTTTTTCTTCCTTTTCTGCTGATGCTGAGACAAATGCAGATGTCACAGGTGGGACCCAACCTTTTTCTTTTTTGTATAACGAGAGTCAGAGGCAGGAAGAGTCATTAGGACTTAGGACAGGTAACAGGTTATAAATGACCTGTAGGGGGTGGCAGTGAGTCTAAATGGAGTTAGAGGAGATACAATACAATATGGAAACCAGGAAATAGAAAATATGGTAGGAAGATATAAGAAATGACAGGCATAGGAAACAAAAGAGGGAAGGAGAAATGAAAAAGACAGGATGAAGGGAAGAAACTAAAGATTGGAGAAAGGAAAATAATTATTTTGATTCTCCTCTGGGATAAATAAAGTATTTAATAATTAAATTGAATCTAGTGTACAAAGGATACAAAAAAAGAAATGAATAATAAAAGATGTAAAAGTCAAAGAGGAAAGGGAGAAAAGAAGAAATGAAAGATACAATAAATGACAAACCATTTAGACAGCAGGACAGGGAATAAAGGATGGAAGAAATTATCTTTCCATAATCATCCAGACCTGGAAAATGCCTTAAATTACAGGTTTTTTCAGAACGTGTATGGACCCCCTTTCAGGATCTGGAGTGGACGAATAGATCATTTTTATTTCTAAACCATGTTGAGGCCTTTCTGCTTCCCTGCTGTGAATGAACTGTAGCACAGAGCGTAAGAGAGTAAAAAACTGAGAACGTCGTGTTCGTCCAGTTTAAAACCCAGACTCAACATTCTGCTACAATATCCTTTAACTTATCAGAACGGCTTCTGTTGGCCACACAGCAGGATGAACTGTTTCAGAGGGGAAAAGAGCCGCAGCCTTGAGCCAAAGAAGCAGCTTTTGCCCACCTTCCTTATATGGGGAAGTTATTAGAGCCGTCAAAGCTCTGAACCTGCTCCCACAGAGACAGGTGGTTTATTTCAGTGCTGCTGCACCATAACCTGCATCAACACAACGTTGGAAAACTCTTTCCCTCCCAGTGTAAATTAAAAAAGCATCAGTTTTGAGAGAACTCAAAGTTTTCCAGCGTTACCTGCGCCGTTCTGAGCCGGTGACTACGCCGGTGCTAGTGGTTGATAGGGCGGTTGTGGTAGTGGCAGACGTGGTTGTCGTGGTGGAGCCAGTGTTTATAGTGGGTATAACAGCAGCCGAGTCCTTCTCCTTTTCCCTCTCTGCACTCTCCTCAGACCAGTACCTGTTCACACAGTCAGCATTTTACTAACAGGAAGGAAACCTGCTTCACACTTTGAAGGATTTATTCGTTTCTACAAAGCTGTCATTTCCACCAGCTTTACCTGCTGGTGAGACTGGTGGAGCCAGTTCGGGTGGAAGAGGAACCCAGGCTGGAGAGGAGGCTGCGATGGCCTGTGGGTGAGGTAACAGACGAGGAGGTGGTGGTTGTAGAAGAGGAGGAGGTGGTGGAGCTGGGCTCCTCGTGTCGTCTGCCAAAAGAGCCGCTGTGGAGACAGAGTTGCAATGAATACCAGAAGAACAAAAAAAAGAACACCTTAAAGGAATAGTACACCCAAAACATGATTAGCCTTCATTTTCTACTCACCCCCATGCTGAACAACACTCTGGAGTACTTTTTTGATATCTCAAATGCATCTGGAGATCTGGGAGGCTTCTTGCTGTCTGCTGACATTCAAATAATGGAGGTCTATGGTGACCGAGACAGAAAGGTCCATAAAAGTCCACAAAAACGTGTCAATATTCCTCCATACTGCTCGTCCAATGTAATCCAAGTGTCCTGAGTGGGTAGCATCCAGAATTTACTCGAAACGAAGTCATTTAGAACGTTTTAGAGCCTAAACAGTAGTGTATAGGATTTCCTAATAGCGCCCCCATGCGCGCTCACGATTCTACGGAAGCCGGCAGACCAAACCGGAAGAAAGTGCGCATTCAGCGTCTGCTCTGCCGATAATGCAAGCGTAGAAGAAGAAATGTGCTGTTTACCTGTGCAAAGAAAGAAACAACGAAAGAAAAATGTCTGAGGACTTCAGTGTTGAGGAAGTGCATGAGTTCTTTGCCGAGCTGAATGCGCTGGTTTGGTCTGCCGGCTTCCGTAGAATCGTGAGCGCGCATGGGGGCGCTATTAGGAAATCCTATACACTACTGTTTAGGCTCTAAAACGTTCTAAATGACTTCGTTTCGAGTAAATTATGGACGCTACCCACTCAGGACACTTGGATTACATTGGACGAGCAGTATGGAGGAATATTGACACGTTTTTGTGGACTTTTATGGACCTTTCTGTCTCGGGCGCCATAGACCTCCATTATTTGAATGTCAGCAGACAGCAAGAAGCCTCCCAGATCTCCAGATGCATTTGAGATATCAAAAAAGTACTCCAGAGTTTTGTTCAGCATGGGGGTGAGTAGAAAATGAAGGCTAATCATGTTTTGGGTGTACTATTCCTTTAAGTATCACCTGTCTTTTTATTTCAAACTACAGATTTTGCAGCTCGACTCCTTTACAGGAAGTAGCTTCAGGTTGGTATTCGACATAAATCCTGAGGACTTTATGGGCCCGTTTACTGATTCTCCAGGAAACACACAGAGTCACAGCAAAAGACTCCTGAGCAGCGAGTCCAGGGCAGTGTCAGTGAGACCTGGACATCTCTGCTACGCAAAGTCCAAGCAGTTGATGCCTCTTAAGGGAAAATCCAACGCGTTAGAAGCCCTTATTAAAGTACTGCTGTTAGGATTTTATTGCTGTTTGTTCTCTAACATTATGAGCGAGTGGACAGGTCAGATTTACAGACACTGAGGAGAGGAGAGCTTGTACTCTGTAGGCTTAGATGACTCAGATTAGTTTAAACTTTCTTTGATTAGGGAGGAAGATTGCAGAGTAATTTCCATTTCGTTTATCTACGGCACACAAAAGAAATCATACCCCAAATGACAACAGTTTCGCTTCCTTCCTGCTTCAGGTTCATAGCAAACAGACCACAGACACCCTGTCCAGGTAATAGATATTTTTGGATTCATTCCTTCAAGGTTTTATTGAAAAGTATATTGCTGCATTAAACAACAAAGCTCAATGCATGGTACAATTTCAAGGCTCAATTGGTAAAACATCCTGCATTTAAAGTATTTGGATAAACAAACATATCAAACATCAGGTGGTCTGACAGGAAACATCCAGCAGAGCAGAGAGGCAGATAGAAAGGACAGCTGGGTGTGGAGACGACCTTGTACCTGCGGTAAATGCTGTAAGACGGGTAGTGGGAGGTGGGTGGCTGCCAGGGTTTAGTGTTACAGGTGTTAGGGTCCAAGCTGGAGGTGGACGAAGACTTGGCTGGCACGTCCCGCGTGCTGCCGCTCCGCCCAAGCGCTAGCGTATGGGACGTGCTAGCGTGTTGGTAGGCAGGTGGGCAAGAGAGTTAGCAGTGGAGGAGCACACACGGACACACAAACATTTATAAAAACACAGAAAACATGTTTACGACTTTGAAGCCTTAGAATACTACTGCTGCATTCAAAGCACAGGAGAGGAGAAACAAACAGCTGGACAATGTCTGGGAATAAAATTACTTTGGTGTTTTGGAAACTATAAAAATCTATTATTTTTTGTCATTATTATAAAATGCAGGTAGATGGGAAAACTAAATATACGTTCCAAAATTGAACCGGTTTCCAAAAGGTGGCTTACAGCCACAATTTGTCAGGTAAGAGATGAATGCAGCTTTACGTGTCGGGGTTTATGATTTATCTGATGACACACAGTAGCTTGGCTTGCTGAAATAACACTGTGGTGCATTTTAATCACTGTGGCCCTGCAGCTTGACAGAACAGGTACAGTCATGCAACAAACTGTAGCAGCATAGAGAGGCGCTGTGGGCTGATTGACTATAAAAAGCATGTACATACAAACAGGGTAATTGATAAAAACAGCAACTGGCCAGGATTCGGGGAGGTCAGAGACTTGAATGGAGGTTAAAGAGGGGCTAACCTGCGCTGGTAGCTGGAGGTTCGGTTGGTAGAGGAGCTTCCTTCGCTGTTCTTCAAGTCATCATCCCAGCGTCGCCGAGTGTATGAGCCGCTACGTATCAGAGCTGTGGAGTCCCTGCACACCCATAAGCTGTTTCAGTGCTCATATTTCTGCTAACAGACATGTTTACTACTGCTATACTTTTTTTGGGAGGGAAATTTATATTCAAAGCATTAGGGGCAGAGTATCAGGGTAACATACAGCCTCAAGACACAGGAGGAACTCCTGCCAATGCATGTTTGCACAGAGCCACTACTTGGCTCCAGGGGTTCACCTGTTTTCCTTCTCATCGATGTCTGAAGTACTGGCAAGTCTCCTTGGGATGGTTGGAGCCACGTACGCAAGTCTGGTTCCTTTGTCCTTCTCCTTCAGAAAGCAGAATAAACAAGCATTCTGTTAGCAACAAGGTACAACACAAATGTTGTTTACATTAATAAAAGCTTCTGTTGGAGCTTTTCTCTAAAATTGTATTCAAAGCTTGTTTTTAAACAAAATCAATCAAGACTAAAATACCTTCTTATGCCTTTCCATGAGAAAAGAAACCTAATCCTTTTTATTTTTCACTGCCTTTTCCGCAGCAATTTCTGGGGTGTGACGAGCAACTTTGCACATTCAGAGAATAAACTATATGCCCACTTCTGTTTGTAAAACAGCCCAAGCTTGGATCGGGCGGAGAGCATCTATAAACACTAACATTCGACTCGCGCCACAGATTCTCAGGGTGATGAATGTTTGGATTTTGGCGGAGCCAGTTTGATCTAAACTATGCCTCTGCTCTGGCGCCACATTTAGGCTTGTTATTCTGCTGGAAGGTGAAGCGGTTTAAACAGGCTGCCTTCTAGGATAGATCTGGACCGGCTCGTCACAGCTAACCTTTTCTTTTTCCTTATTGTCCAGAGACGAGGTGAGGCGAGGGCTTGAGGCGGAGCGCATTACGCCTGTAGTGTCCTTCTCCCTCTGAGCCTCCTTTGTGGCTGTGATCTCAGACAGCGCCCCATAGCTGCCCGTCTTCCTCAGACCCAGACGCCATGATGCCGGAGACTCGTCCTTCCTATCCTCCTCCACCACTTTGGTTGAGACCTTTCCAGCCGGCTGAACGACCTGGAGATTGTGAGGATGAGGCAGCAGCTTAGACAACATGGAATATGCATTTATGGACCCGATTATGAATCGGTTCTTAGTAATCTTAGTCAGAAACAATCAGGAATCACATCAAACACTTGATTAATTAAAAAGCAGCTGCAGTCATTTGGTATAATATTAAAACCATGAACTTTTCCATATTTTGTCAGCTTAATGTATTCTATTTTGATACCTTGTGTAGGACCAACACACAGCAGTACATAATAGTAAAGTAGAAGAGCAAAACATTTAAGGTTTTCAAAACCTTTACAAATAAAAAGCTGGAGTGAAAAAACTCAACCAAAAGTCAGTTGTTTTTTTTAAAGGCTTTTTGATGACTAAAACAGCTTGATGCTGCTGCCACCAGCAAACCTTTCTCCCTTTCTTCCGTTTAAGCAAACCTGCACATAAATACATTCGTACTTAAACAGACATCTACATAATGTGGAATAAATTAACTAATAAGTATGGAGAATAGCCACACTTGATATTATTTAAAGGTGGCCGTGTAAGTAGTGTTGTAGAAGAGAGATTTTTCCTTCTCTTTCACAATTATGCATCACTGTGTTTTGGTTATAATACATAAGCTCAAAGCTCAATTGAATAAATCAAAGTTTATATTAAAGGTTTAAAAAAATACAGAAAGCTCAAGGGGGACCAACAACTGGGGCAAATATATTTAAAATTTTAGGAAATAAAATCCAATCAAATGACAATCCTATCACCCTAATTTAAAACTCGGATGAAATCTGATGTTTTAGCAAACAAAACTCGGACCTCATACCGTTTAAACCACCATGAGAGGTTAAAAGCCATTGAAAACATATAATCCACACAGACACAATGTCAAAAACAAAGTTAGCGGTGCATCGGTCCATTACAAGTGGGGGGGAAAAAGCACTATGCAATGTTTATGAGTGAGAGGGAAGTTCAATCACTTGTTGGATTTTTCCACTGGGTTAAAAGCAATAGTCAAATTATTCAAATATTTCTGTGGGGAATTAGAATTTACTTTTGTTTTCATATGATTATACAAATATTTACTTCATTGGTAACTCAAATCTTATTCTTAAGCTGAAAATGATGAATAATGGTAGTTAGAGCTCTAGTACATACAGCTAGAGCGTGGGCTCAGAGAGCAGGAGAGGAGGAAGCTGTTTGTGGTTGACCCCTCTGAGCGGGTCAACAGCTGCAGGCCCCTGAAGACATCACAATTTAGTGCAGCACAAAAATTCTTCAAGAGGCAAACCCAAGCAAGTGGAAAAATCCTACATCACCTGAAATTGGTGGAGGGTTAGGGGAAACTTTAGTGCTTTGTGAGTGCAAAGTGCATGTAGGATGAAACAGCCACTCCGGTGCACACCAATGCCTCACCATAGGTTTTTTGGGCACAAGAGAAATGCCAGTTTTGCGCAAACCTTGACGCCACAATGCAGGACAGCCTGGCTCCGCCAAAGGCATGAGAGGTGTAATGTAATCAGACTAAAGCCAACATTGCCAAAGAGGCCAGGATGGTAAAATAGGACAGACAAGGAGGAAGACAGAGAGGTTGGAAAAGAAAATGGCAGAATAAGACAGAAGCGGAAGCAAAAGAAACACAGTCTGTGTGTGAGGACAGGCATTTTAAAGCCCAGTCACACTACATGGAGCCAAACTAGGGGCAATGGTCAATTAAGTCAAGTAAGGCATGGTGTGTAAGCACCGGCCTTTAAATAAGGTATGACGTTTCAGAAGCAGAAATAAAAGCAGACAGGATGAGTGAAACTTATCAATTTTTCATAAACCATTTCCTTCATTCTATAGCATTGGGTCATCCACATCATTTCAGTTGGCTTCTTTTAGTCACACAGCAGCCAACATTTGCAGCAAAAGACATGAGACAAAAAAGACAGAGCCTTGCAGAAATTTCTAATGCTCATCTTTAGAGGGAATTTTTCTTTTTGCCAGCAGAGGGCAGCAGATCCAAAAGTGGCCATATATTTCTATTCGACAAAACTTCTGAATCCACTAAAATCTGTTTTCTTTTTTTTTTGGTAAAATTATTTAGTTAATCATTCCTGCAATCTTACCTACATTTGGTTATTTTAAGTCGACTGATTTCAGTTTCCTGGAACCTAAAGAGCTAAACAATATCAGTAGGGTGTTCAGGTTTTTTCACATGAATTTAAAAAAATCTAAACCCATCTACAGTCATAGCATTTAATAGAAAGTCTGTGGATCTGAAGCTCACCGTCCTCCATGTGTTAAACGTGACCAAATTTATTTAACTCATTCATTTTTTATCATAATACAAGTATGACTTGTTTACTTAAATGTTTGACTGATCTGTTCCAATTTTATCTGCTACTTGTGAATGTTTATATCAAATTCCAGTAAAATGTATCCATGTCGTGGTTGTAATATGTAAGAAAAGGTGAAATGAAGAGCTCAGTGGGTATAAATACTATATGGATTGTAGGCTTTTTTGCAGAACAAGCTGGAAGTCGTATCTCCAGTTTGTAGTAACACCAAGTTCAGAACATGACTGGCAGTTATTAAAAAAGAAGTAGAATGATGACAGAGTTGCGCCTGTGCTGCAACACTGGACTTCCTTAAACGTTTTATACAAAACAGCCTTTAAGACTGAACTTTTCTGATGTGAACGGTTCCCAAGAAAAGACCAGATGTTCGGTACCTGGTCTTACCTTCTTAACTGGTGAAGTGGGCGTGGTCACCTGATTAGTTGGACTGGTTGGAGATGACGCGCTGACTGTGGCCGGGGTGGTGGTCGTGCTGCTGGTCACCGCTGCTGGAGTCTTGCTCTTATCTGTGAATAATAAAAGTTCTTTGTTACATTATGATTACAAATTCTGTATACTTTGTTGTTATTCAAAGCAAAGTGCTGTTTTTGTTGTTTTTATAGCTGTATAAAAAACACACCTGCTTCATTTTCAGACTCTGAGTCTTCCTCGTCTTCCTCTTCACTTGAGCAGCTTGATTCGTCCTTCTTGCCCTCTTCCTCTTCGTCCACCTTCTCTGGCTCCAAGGTCTCGATGCGTGGAGCCGTCTTCTCTGGCTCCAGAAGCAGCGCCTCTTTGCTGAAACATCACATCACAGAAATAAGTTTTTTTTTTTTTTTGCTGGACAGCAGCATAAAAACTATGAAGGGAAAATATTTCCACTGATCATTTTCCTCCAGGATGAAGCCCATTTACCTTTTAGGTGTTTTCAGTGATTGGTTGTTGTCTTCCGTGGTTGTTGTTTCAATCAGAGGAGACTTCTTAACATCTTTCTTCTCACTCATAAGCTGGAATAAAGAAAACAGCATGACTCTCCGATTCTCGGACGCATGAAATCAGATGGTCTCAGAAGCTGGTCCAAACTGATTAGGCTGGATTACATTATCCAATCAGTGATCACGCTGACTCACCAGATTCTGTTTCTTCTGTAGCTCCTCTAAGTATCCCAATACATCTTCATCGGCTACATCAAAAGCAGTCTGGCCCTGAAGAAAAGAGGTGACAATACAGCTGAACTATTGCACAACAGTGATCAACAGATACCCATCATTATCTCAACCCACCATTTTATTAATAAGATCCATGTCGCACAGATTCTCCACCAGTATCCTACAGGCCTCCTCTTTGCCCCAGTGTGCCGCTGCGTGTAGAGGCGTCCAGCCATCATAGTCTTTAATGTTGACGTCATACCCTGCTTGGATTAAAAGCCTGAACAATGAGGGGTTTGGGAAGGCGGAGGGACAGAAATAGTTTATGTTAATTAGCGAATGCGTTCGATGGATTTGATTCTTCGAACTAAGCCTTTAAGAACCTGCACAGATTTCTGCATTAGGAAGTGTGCTCCTGTTATAACCACAAGTTAGACTTACAAAATCTGTGCCTTTGAGAATTATAAAACTGTATAACACATGTAGAAGAGAAAATCCATGACAATGTTTTTCACTTGTCAGAATGCTTAATGTCGACTAGTTTCTTTTCAAGTAAATGTGAATTTTCTGATCATTATTTCATAAAATACGGACAAAGACGTTCCATAAGGACGAAGCATTATTTTCTGCTGTATAGGATATTATTTTATGTAAAAATAAATACAGTTTCCAAGCTAAAGACAAGAAATGTAGATCTAAAAACATTTATGGTTCTTTAATGTCCTGTTGTGAAAAATGTATTCAAATGTTCTTTTAAAAAATCTGCTAAAGCCTGTAAGAATGATATTTGTTCATATACCATTTTCAAAATCATTAGATGATCCTTTATCGTTTTTAGCCACTATTAAGAGCCAGTGGTGGCTCCAGAGCTGCACTTTAAGGTCTGTAACATAAAATCCCATTAAAAATAACTACAAAATATTGCAGGATAAGAAAGTAAATACAGGATCTTAACATTTTAAGCATGTTGTTAAAACTGGATGAAGAAGATTGCAGTGTTAGAGCTGATATGACACAGCAGATAGTTAGCTCACTGGTTAATGTATGATGGCTGCCATATACACCATTGGAGCTCCGAAGAATCCCAGGCTGCAGAGTTCTGGCTGCTATCCCAGATCAAATGAACAAGTTACTGCAGTTCCTATGCTTAAGTAACGTAGTGTATTAACAACCCCAAGAAACCATGTCAAAACAAAGCAAAATGATAAGATGCAACTACTGGGATAAATCTAAGGTTAGGAAAAAAAAAACCTGCTTTCATAACCTGACTCACGCTGTTCAAAGTGCTTCTCTAAATGAACTCAATGAACCAGCTTCACGCTGCTGTATGCTACACATATGAAGGTCATTACACGCTCCAGCTACTCCATACAGCATCAACTCTATGCTTACTTTAAAACCTCCACGTATCCTTTAGCGGCGGCTACGTGGAGCGCCGTTCCTCCTGATTTCGCATGCCGGGTGTCTTGAATCTGGCCGCTGTTGAGCCACTGCCGGGCGTCCCTCAGCATGATCCGCTCCTCCTCTTTACGGGCTGCTTCTATGTCCAACCCTGGAGAAAACGAGACAAATAAAGAAACAAACAGGCAACAAGAGATCAGAGAGATGTTGAATCAATGACAGGAAAAAGGCACACAACGTGTACCAGAAATTAATTACAAAAAGAAATCTGAAATAACCAATTTTTAAGCCTTTTTTTTTAGATAACTGAAATGCAGCATCAAAAGACTTCCAACCTTTATAACATCTTTTATGCTCTAAATATTGCATGTTTTAAAAGCCAATCTGCACATTATTAGCAGGGAGTGCAGTGCACAGAAAAGAGGCAAAAAACTTTTATTATAGTAGATTTTTATTCTTCAACACTATTAGTGGTTTAAATACAACAAATTAAACCAGAACCTAATGTTAAAAAGCTCTAAAATTGTATGATTCACAGTTTTTCATTGAATTGTCAGATGATTAATTAAAAGTAAAGGACTCGTCAAAAAGTTGGTCAGAGACAATCAAATTAACTGGAGAACATTGTACTATTTATACTTTCAGTCATAAAAAGTCATTTAAAGTAGTAAAGTAAACTAATTTCCAGTTATAGAAACAGAATCATCATCATCATCATCACTGAGCCAAAATAAGACCATAGTTCTGCTTAATCCCAAGAGCACTTTTGCAGTTATCAGCTCTGCACACCCCTGACTGTATCTGCAATGACTGATTGGAGTGCATACCAGAAAGATGTCTCACCTCGCTTTATTTACAATTTGTCAGGTGATGTCAGTCCCATTTCTATAAAGTAGGGTTGGGCGATATGGCTAAAAAACGTATAAGGTTTCATATTGGTCGATAATAAAGACCAGGAGTAAAAAAAAAGGCTAAATTTTACTTTTTTTAATTTCAATTTTGAGTGTACCCATTTAAAAAAGGTCAAATAAAATTAAAAAAAAATTAAAACATTTACCAAATCATGATTTTTATCACGTGATACCAATGCTGTGGACCTGCAAGTTGTCTGCTGTTCAGCTTGTACCGACGATGACCGCAGATGATGATGACTAGGTTACTGTACTTCACCAGATGAGACTGGCTCAGGAGATAAAATAAGTTGTTTTATTGCCCGATTTGGTCGGCATGGTGACCAGGCATCGCTTACAGACAGCATCGATCCTGTTGGCCTTTAAATAACCAAAATACAGCCACACTGGTGATGAGAACCTTCCTTGATGGTCCTCCCGTTCTGGCAAACTCATTCCCGCTGACTACCCTCTGGAGTTCTCAAACAGTACGGCACAGTTGAGAAAGCACAAGCTGGCTATGTTGTTGCTACGTGGTGTTGCTAGTTGGTCGAGCAGTGGGAGCTAAGGGCTGTCTCCTCTAAACTACGTCCCCCAGAATACCTTGCATGCCTCTGCATTTCTTATTATTTTGGTTAAGTTGCTTGCTGAGTTCAAGACATTTTTTTCAGTCATTATCAAACATCTTTTTATTGTTATGGATCACATTTTTATCATGATACATGATGTTTTATTGCACAGCTACTAAAAATGCATGCACACAAACTTCAATCATATCTTTCTCCCACATAATCATCACTGCTATTCTCCTAAGTAAAGTCCGTGTTGTACGCTGCAATTCCAGATCTGTAGAGGAAAACCAGATCTTGGATAATTATAGCCCCGCCTCTGAATACAAGAGTACTTTGTTATGCTTTGGGGAACTGTTTGTGCCAATATCCAGCATATAAACAACACAATAGTTGCAAACATAAGACACTGCTTAGGTGGTAAAGTGGGTCAGTATGTCAGTGTTATACAATCCATACTAGGAAACGGTGAAAACAGACCTGTCTTAGTGCGAGGCTTGGCTGAAATATGGCCTGAAAAGTCATTTTCATAGTCGAGCCTCGACTGCTCTGCGCTGAACTATATCATAAAACATGGGCCTGAGCTGTGTTCTGGGGAAGGAGTCGGGTTTAAGCTCATCATAATAAGGCTTGGTTCAGCCCAGTGTTCTCCAACCTTTATTGGTGCTCTTTTTGATTTACAATAGAAGTTTTTTCTCAGGTATTTGTTGCCAAATAATTTGACAAACATACATCATTTTGGAGAAAAACACAACAAAAAAAAACACTACAATCTGCTAATTTGTAGTGATCCGTCACAATTATTCAACAATTGACACTCTCTCCAGATGTATAAGTGTTTATAGATGATCAAGAATTTGAATGCGTTTACATGGCACTGTATTCTAGATCAAGATAGCAAAGTGATGCAGATTATTTCACCTGATGCAGAGAAGGATGCCAGCCGGCATCCTTTGATCTCTGCTGAAGCAGACAACAAAGTCTATAAAAAGCATGGAGCCTAATGGCCTCTAAGCAGCAATATGGAAAAAGCGATGAGTGGAAAAGTTGGCAGTTCAAAGCTGCTTTTTGACTAGTGAGAGGAATGAGTCTACTCGAGATTAGACAAAGGAAACAGAGAACCTCCGAAACATTTTGTGTTCAAACACTGTCGAAAGAGACAGCAGCAACAAACATTTTTTATCAGAGGTTTAAATACATCTAAGCTGACAAAGTGCAGGTGAACAGCATTTATGAGGTAGTCCAGCTCTATCATGACAGATTGAAGATTAAGGCAGCATTATCTGAGATGTTCAGGCTCCCATTTGATTAAACGAATCAGACCCAGGAGAGGATCTGGAAGTTCTTTATGCATTCTGATCCTTGCCATCCCTTGCTAACAAGTTTAACTCTGTGGTGTCTCAGAGGCAGAAAAATTAAACCACAAACACCGGAAAGTGTTACACAACATTTGGTTACATAATGCTGCCTACCACCTCTAGCATGAAAAAAAGAATATAAATATATAAAAAAGAAAATGAGCAACTGCCCTCAAGCCAGGCTCACTGCAAATTCACACAACAGCGAAGCTTCGTCATGGAAGCAGTTTAAACGGTCCTGTTTTTATGTTAAAATAAATCCTGATTTAGATTTTGCTCACAGAGAGGAAACAGATAGTTCTGTTCCATGTTTTCCTACTTTGTTAAATCCTCTATTATTAAAAGATGTCAGAGTTGTGAGAAAAAGCCAATCAGAGCTTTTATCAGCTGAGTACTGAGGGTTTTTTTGGAAGCTGGAGGTTTGGCAGAAACTAAAAGATAAAGCAGCAAACTTTGATACACAAAGACAAGAGACCGATTAAACCTACATGGCTCTACCAATTAATATTTGAAATAGAGAAAACAAAACAAAAACCTCTGATATGCATTTTAAATGAATCGCAAATGGCATAAGTAGGCTATTCTTAAGCAAATTGCACGCATCAAGACTGTGTAAAAATACTTGAAGTAACAATTCAATTAAACTGTACATTTCTGTTCATATGTATGCATATAACTAGTATCAAAGAAAGACTTCGATGCATCTGCGTCAGATTCAGATTAATCAGACAATGGCAGGTCACTCAAGCCATTTGGGTGAAAATAAACTGAGGAACAACCCTTCTGGACAGGAGCCAGGTGGCCTCTTTCCATGAGGGAGGGCCCTCTGTCAGGAATGCTTGAGCTAAAAATAGTCAAACCCAGCTTTTTACTTCTGATTCATCAGATGGGAGCCAATAACGCAGCTGGATGACCCTTCTATAATATATATATATATGGTCTTATTAGGGGTTCAGAAACACGGCAGGTGGCTGATGCCACTACAGTTTAGTTCATGTTTTTTTTTAAACCCTTGCATGCATAAAATATGGAATGGCTCACAGCATCTGTCACTTTATGGAAAGACATACGGATGGAATATTTTTTACAAAATCCGAGCAGCAGGAAGAGTTTCAGTTCATTTTAAATAGATGTGCAGATGTATGAAATGCTCTACCTTGTCGGTTTATTTCATTTTGTAGAAGTTCCTCCATTGGCTCCTCTTCAGCAATGTCCAGAGGGGTCTCCCCCTCGCTGTTCACAACTCCAACATTAGCACCCTGGCTGATCAGATACCTACATTGAAGAAAACACGCTAAAATTAGAGAAATATAAAAAGAGTAAACATTTGAAGACTAAATCTTTCATTTCTTCAGTGATAGAAAATGTTTGGTCCTAAAACCTGGGAAAAAAACTGTTGTCCAAAAACAGAAATGGTGGTGTTTACTGATGCATCGGTTATCAGGTTAAGAGTTCATGTGACTTGTGTAAGAAACTGCAAATCAATTAATGCCAATTTAAATATTAGAGATACGCAAACATTAAAACATTCCATAAAGGTACTACACAGAAAAGAAAACATGTTTTTAAAAAAGATGCACCAGTCTTAAATTGTATTTTATTACGCTACAACTTAACATAACACTGAGCCAAAAGGTTGAAAACACATCATGAATATTTAGAATCTAGGGAAAATCTGGCAAGGAAGGAAAACAGGGCTGGATATTGTGCCTTTATGTGCAATTCAGGACATAATGTTTTCGGTTCCTTAAAGCGAGCCGCTGATCAGGGCCACAATTAAAGGAAAAACTTCACAATATAAAGAGTTAATACAAAAAAAAGCAGTTATATTAATTAGGGCTGCAACAACGAATCGATAAAAATCGACTTTTAAAAGAGTTGGCAACGAATTTAATCATCGATTAGTTGTGTCGCGCGATTAATGCGCCATCCGCCGCCGCCGTCATCCAGGGGAAGAAAAAAAAATATGGCGGAGCGAGTCAGCGCCGCAGTTGCAGTGTTGCCAACTCAGCGACTATTTTTCAAAAAAGCGACTAGCGACAAATCTGGCGACTTTTTACGGTGTCACTGGCGGCTTTTGCCTGCCGTGGGGCGCCTCCCCCATCCCAACCCCTTTCTCCCTCTCCCACAGGAACCCCTCTCAGCGCTGCAGTCAGAGCCGCAGGATATTAGTGAGGAGTTTACCCTCAGCGTCCAGACTTTCTTTATAAATAAATTAACTTGCAAATTATGAGGGCAAGGCTTTTAAAGTTTAAATCTTCTGGCAAAGATAAAGTAAAGAAGATCCTGCAATTTATGGAAGTAAAGCAGAATAAAATCCAGCAAGATCAGTAATATGTCAATTAATTATATGCCACATTCCCATGTAAATATCTGTCTTTGGAGGATGTGTTTTTTACCACCCCTAGTTCTCTCATTTTTATGCCTGTCTTTTTTGTGCTTTATGAAACAAAGTACCCTATATTTTGTGGATGTACAGCTACATTTCTCATGTAAGTTTGCGTAGTTTTAACACAAACATTTATTTTTCATATTGCACCAGTACAGTTAATGAGCAACCTGTACTTGTGTGCTTGTTTGTTCTGTCTAAAATGTTTATTTTGGAATAAAGAGGTTAATATAAAAAAAATTTTTTGTCCGATTCATCGATTAATCGAAAATATAATCAGCCGATTCATCGATTTTTAAAATAATCGGTAGTTGCAGCCCTAATATTAATAAAGCCACAGATTTGAGCATTATTAAAACACTAAACTGCAAAGAATGATAATGACATGAAAGATACTGCATGGTTTGCCTGCAGGTAAGAAATTCAAGTAGGAAGGAAAACAGTGGTAGCATGCAAGAACAAAACGTAGGTCTGAAGTGACAAAGGGGCGCACAGAACAAGACCTAAAAATAGTGTTGACATGTCAACATGGATAAAGAAAGAGACAAGTCTGTGTTCCACCCTAGATTTAGACTTTAACTGCAATGTCCCAATTTGATCCCTTAAACCAGAGTACAGCTTTTAGCCAATTCATGCCTCTCCATCAAAACAGACAAGCTAAGCCATCAAATTAAGAAGCTTGGTCAAAAGTATCATCGGGGCTCCAGGATATATAGAAAGCATGACATCTAGATCGCATTAAGTATTGCAATGACATTTCAATTGATCAGTTTTCCTTCTTTCCCACCCATGTATTGTTTCCTTTACTTTCCCTGGTCTGATTTTGGTCATAAAAACAGAACCCATCAAGCGTGGACCTAAAGGATGATATACAGCTATTAAAATACCCAAATAACACAGTTTCAGTATGTGGCAGATTAAAAACAGTCCAATAAAGCAGTCATTTACTAATTAAATCATACATTGTGTAGCTCTGACTGTATTTAATCTTTTAAAAACATTATATTCAACAGACCTTATTAAATAAAGAAGGAAAAATAAATTATAAAAATAAAAAATAGAAAAAATTAAGTTAGTTTAAGAAAATGTTACTTTAATCTCCAAGCCTTGTTTCCTGCAGCAACTGAAGCCATTTAAACCATTATCGTCTCAAACATCATGAGACTTCCTCTACCCGAATGCACCTTAGTGGGTTTTATCTTTTTATCACGGCGTGACAACCTGTATGAAGAAAATGGTTAATATTACAGCCAGAGGGAGGCATTCTTATTCATTCTAAATAGCACAGAATCTAAAACCCTGTGGTGCCGAATGTTTTTTTTTGAGCATGCAACAATGATGCGAAGTATGCTCAGACATACAGGAAAACGCAGGAAGTGCAGCAATGCATGGATGTTGCCAAGGTTTTTGCATGCTCTATAGATTATATATATTTTTTTAGACCTGGCTGTAGACAGAGTGGGAGAGCTCTATATAGAGAGTGTATCCAGGTAATTAACAAGATATTAGGAACCACTCGCATCAATCCAACTGCTGACATAAAGAAGACGTGTACCAAGCCTTGTCTCCTGCAGCAACTGAAGCCATTTAAACCATTATCGTCTCAAGCTCAGCTGCCTCCAATTAAAGCTGTGGTGACACTCAGGCCCTTCTCATTAGACCAACAACCCACTTGAAAAACACTTGTATTTCTTGCAAACTGAACTGACCAAGTAGAATTACATCACATCTTTTTGATTGGACTTTCTATCCTTCCATTTTCTAGGTAGACAAAAATAATTTGCTGGCTTTGTTTTCTACAGTTCTGCTGAGTTTCTTACCCCTATTCTTCTATAGGTTGATGGTTGTGAGAGCAGAACCCAACTGATCTGGCTCTGTTTATTGGTTCCTGCTATTGTGAAAGAGGATGCTGGGATTAAAATGGGCCTACATCAGTTTGCAGAGTTTCACCCTCTGTGACATGATGCCTCCATTAGTCACCAATGTCAGATCAGCCACTTGACATTTTCCCTCAAAATGTCAAACAAATGCCTGCTTGTTTTCTGTCATACTGCCTCCTCTCTGTGGGTCCCTTAGGCCTACTCAAAACAGACTTCTCTTATTGAAGTCCAAATGAAGTGGCATTTATTAAACAAAAAAAGGAAAATTGCTTAGATATCTAATTTTAGTAGTATTTCTCCAAATAAACCCGAACAGTGTGGCATTTTTGTTTCTCCCCTGCGAGCGGCAGTTCTTGGTAAAACATATCAACCCGGAGCTAGACTTCAGAAATGTAACCCAAGTAAAGCAGGTCAAAGCACACTCCCACTATGGAGAACAATGAGGACTACTGAGCTCCTTTAGCCTGTTTAAATGTCTTCTGATAACATCGATGCGTTGTCGCGTTGTCCAAAAATGGATGTTATGAGGCAATCTGTTTTTTTTTTTTGCAAAATGTGTTTCAAATACACCTATTAATATCTTTTCCCTCTACTTAATCAGTTTAAACACAAAATTAATACATTTAAAAACATCCGACGCATTCGGTAAGCCTGGCAGTCATGCTGGATGTTAAATCATTGTTTAGGTTTAACTATTTCCAAATCTCTAAGTGTTTTCTTCAAGTGAGGAAAGTGCAGGAGCCTTCTTCAGCCAGCTGACCAGCAGTCTGCAGCAGCAGGAGGAGGTGCTACACAAGGAATGAGCTAATCAACTAGCTTGTAGGATGTAGCTTCTGTGCAAAGCAAAATTAAAAAAGAATTTTACAGATGCTTTTTGCTAAATTTGTGCATTAAAATCTAAATCTTAAATTTTTTAACTTTCTGATTAGCATGTGATTGTTTTTTAACGTGTTTTAGCAATGCAGCAAATTTCAAACTCACCCCCACCGAAAAAAAAACAACACATGGAATTTAACCAAGCTAAGGAGAGAGAACCTCTCATTGGAAAAGTACTGAAGTAATTATTTTGTTTCAGCTGGCAACAAGTTTTTGGCTCAGCATCGTACATGCTGCCATTCTGATTGGAAATACACTATATTGCCAAAAGTATTTGTTCACTCATCCAAATTATTGGAATCAGGTGTTCCAATCACTTCCATGGCCACAGGTGTATAAATTCAAGCACCTAGGCATGCAGACTGTTTTTACAAACATTTGTGAAAGAATGGGTCGCTCTCAGGAGCTCAGTGAATTCCAGCGTGGAACTGTGATAGGATGCCACCTGTGCAACAAATCCAGTCGTGAAATTTCCTCGCTCCTAAATATTCCACAGTCAACTGTCAGCTGTATTATAAGAAAATGGAAGTGTTTGGGAACGACAGCAACTCAGCCACGAAGAGGTAGGCCACGTAAACTGACGGAGCGGGGTCAGCGGATGCTGACGCGCATAGTGCGAAGAGGTCGCCAACTTTCTGCAGAGTCAATCACTACAGACCTCCAAACTTCATGTGGCCTTCAGATTAGCTCAAGAACAGTGCGCAGAGAGCTTCATGGAATGGGTTTCCATGGTCGAGCAGCTGCATCCAAGCCATACATCACCAAGTGCAATGCAAAGCGTCGGATGCGGTGGTGTAAAGCACGCCGCCACTGGACTCTAGAGCAGTGGAGACGCGTTCTCTGGAGTGACGAATCGCGCTTCTCCATCTGGCAATCTGATGGACGGGTCTGGGTTTGGCGGTTGCCAGGAGAACGGTACTTGTCTGACTGCATTGTGCCAAGTGTAAAGTTTGGTGGAGGGGGGATTATGGTGTGAGGTTGTTTTTCAGGAGCTGGGCTTGGCCCCTTAGTTCCAGTGAAAGGAACTCTGAATGCTTCAGCATACCAAGACATTTTGGACAATTCCATGCTCCCAACTTTGTGGGAACAGTTTGGAGCTGGCCCCTTCCTCTTCCAACATGACTGTGCACCAGTGCACAAAGCAAGGTCCATAAAGACATGGATGACAGAGTCTGGTGTGGATGAACTTGACTGGCCTGCACAGAGTCCTGACCTCAACCCGATAGAACACCTTTGGGATGAATTAGAGCGGAGACTGAGAGCCAGGCCTTCTCGTCCAACATCAGTGTGCGACCTCACAAATGCGCTTCTGGAAGAATGGTCAAAAATTCCCATAAACACACTCCTAAACCTTGTGGACAGCCTTCCCAGAAGAGTTGAAGCTGTTCTAGCTGCAAAGGGTGGACCGACGTCATATTGAACCCTATGGATTAGGAACGGGATGTCACTTAAGCTCATATGTGAGTCAAGGCAGGTGAGCAAATACTTTTGGCAATATAGTGTATTTGCAGCAGGAAGACCGAGCAGAAATCCACAGGCGCTGCCAGCTCAATGGTGTGTAAATATGGTCAGAAAAGGTCAACTGGCCATCTGTTTGTAGCTGCCGCTTCACAGTCAAAACAATACTTTCTAAATCTAACAAGAGCAGGAAAATGGTACCACACAGAATCAATAAGGGTATAGGAGCAGATAAAAGCACTTCTAATAAAACCTGCTCGGGTGTTTTTGAAGGGAAGCTTTATAAGGTTAGACACAAACAACAAATTACTCAGACTAGAACTGAAACCAATCTGAAACCTATTGAGAAGTTTAGTGTGGAGCACAGCAGTTACAGAAACATTACAGTAAAAAGAAGACAGGATGTAAAGGGTGGATTTCAATCTGATGAAAGTAATGATGCTGTGAAAAGTGATGGACTTACTCTGCTATGTCCAGGTATCCGCAAGAAGCAGCAGCATGGAGGGGGATCCAGCCTTCATTATCGGGCTGGTTGACGCTGGCCCCGTGCTCCACCAGGAACGTCACCATGTCGATGTTGTCATCTATGCAGGCCTAAAAGGAACGGCACAGAGAGAGGAGAGGAATGAGACTTCCTTCACACACATCAACAAGAGGTTATGTCAGCGAAAGAGAGCGTTTGGGTCCTGCTGGATCGCTGCGTCTCTCCATAACTGTTGAGGAATTTAGGCAGCTGGAGCACTACCAAAATGCCTGCACATAGAAGGGGTGCTTGAAATACCACAAAGTGTAACGCTACACTGACTGATACAGCCATTGACGTGCTGTGTTTATATACAGATAATTTATGAAGAGAAGGGAAAATGTGAAATGGGTCAGCTATGCATAAAAGGCAAACAACTCTCAGGTAGTTTTACGCAGACGTTTACCAGATAATTCCCAACAATCAGAAACACTTAATATTATGTTTTTATGATTAATATTATGTGAATCATAAAAACATAGACACATTTACAGGTGGAACAATGGAGCTGTTTGCAGTATAATTGTTTTTCATGTTTATCAACTTGTCAGCTGTAAAAATCTTTGAGTAATGCCTTAAAAAGCTGCAGGTCAGGCTCGCTTCCTTATTTGCTGGATCATCTCAGTTATGGATCATTTGATCAATTTATCACTCTGCAGACATTTTATCGAGAAAAAGAGGTTATTTAAGCAATGTTAACAATATGATGATCTTTATTATCATTACAAGTTTGCACATTCCGAGTAGTTTTTGTCTTTCTACGTTTAACCCATCCCTTAGGGAGCAGCTGGCTGCCTCTGTGCGGCAACCAGAGAGCAATATGGGGTTAGTGGCACTTTGTGGGATTCAAGCCCGGGAACTTGCAGCCTTTCAGAGACTCGAGCACCCTGCTCTAACCACTAGGCCACCACTCCCCCTGCAATCAACTAAGACGACTACATTCCCCACCGCAGGAGCTCTGAGGATTCAACTCAAAGCTACACTTCCAACTGCTCTGGCTCACAGTGGGGGCTGGAAACATTTTTCATTTATGATTATCTGAAATCATTTTGTAACTTTGTTTAACCTTGCACTGTTGTTATGGTGTGCATACACACCAGCAAAGGAAGGTATTTTGTTAACATTTCTTTCCTCTGTTTGAGTTACCATGTACTTGCCGTGGTCCTACCATGTAGCACTGACCTATGGGGGGGATTTGGGTTGAGTTAGTTTAAATCTTTGCTTCAGTTATTGTCAGTTATCCTGTGTGTGTTTTTTGGTTCGTAAAAAATTTGGAGTATTGTTAGAGTCGGTGGACCTTTTATATGCTGGCTGATTTATGCACTATTTTTTTTATTTTTGGGTCAATGAAGCCCAGATTTATGAAATTACCTCCTGTGTCCCTTTTGCCTAACTCCTTGGTCCCTGACAATCACTGATGGCACCATCGGACGCAAGTCTGCTCAAATAAAAACACTTTTTATCTAAATGTCATTTATGAATGACGGCGGTGCAGTTTGAACCATGTCCTAACACCACCCACAAACCAAGCTGCTGAACCAGTGACAGTGGGGAATCTAGAATTAAAAATAGCGAGTGTGGGTGTTCCAATTTACGGCCGACTGAATCATGATGTGGAGGAGGCTTTGAGACGATCTATAAAGGACAAGGAATCTGCATTTAGACTGGGTCGGCTTGAACCTCTGAAGTACGTTTCATTAATGGGAAAGGTTTATAAAATGCTAAATGAAATGGGTCACCTGTTTACATCACTTCTTTTTGTTTTCAGTTAAATCTGGTTGCACAAAATTAAATGTTTTTTCAGAGTATTCACCAGTAGGTGTTAGAAGAGGATTAATTCATCCAAAACAAACAAGAACCTTTTTTGTAGAGAAAAATATGTTACATAACCAATAATTCACCACTTTGAAATTTGGAATAATTGCAATTTCACAATAGAAATTAAATAAATTAACCCCCAATGTCCACAACCTGTGAACCCCTCACCGCGCACTGTGTGTGTCATGTGCCTCTCTTCTCAGTTGCCATGACAACACAAGCGTCCACAGGAGAAACAGACACACATGAACGCCTGCCGGCCTCCTATTCAGGGCACACTACTATCTGGCTGGAATCCTTGTCCAAATTTGGACCGTTTGGAAGCAGCTCTCCAGCTCTGGCGCATTAAAAGCCTCACTGAGCTTATCTGACAGCAGCCGCGTATTTGTGTTTGATGTACATGATATAATTGAGACTCGTTTATATGGTTTGGTTATACAGAGGAGATCAGTTCCTTTGGGGGATTTTTGACTGACTGTACATTTTGTCTCTTTAAGCACTTTTCGTTATAAATCATAAATATTGTATAACAACCTGTTACTAAAAGTTAAGGTAGTCTTGAAAAATGATTTCGAGACACCACAAAATAAATAAAAAAAATATATAAAATAGATAAATATATTTAGGTGGTTTCTTTTTTATTTTTGTTAAGAAAAAAAAAATAATTCAAACTCCTCTGACTATAAAAATATGCCTCTCCCCCCCAAAAGAACTCACAACCGTTAACCAACCATGCTGCTTTGAAAAGTTTTTTTTTTTTTTTTTAACCTTCACCATCATTAGAAAGCCACATTTCTTTTTCCACAGGCTGTTCCTACCGGATGTCAACATTTGTTCGATCATCTGAAGTGCAGCTAAAAAACAAAAGGTTTCTGCATAAAGGCAACAGCTTTTTCAAAACAACTTTGCTCTTATTATCCCTGTTCCATGTTTCTGTGCATGTTTTCTAAAGCATAAATCCCACATCCTCCTTGTCCGATTTTGTAGCAAAGACAAGTAGGGCATAATAAAACAAACTGTTGTGTTCAACCTGCAGGAAAGATGGTAAAATAAAATAAAATAAAACATACATCGATGCACAAGCTTCCTTCATACTGAAACTACTGTCACCCATCTGTATCCTCCGAGTTTTTCCTTTTCTTTTCCATAAACAATTATCCAAAGCAGAGAAAACCATTAAAGTCTCACCGTATTCCACTTGTCATAACCTGTCCAAGTTTGTATTTAAACATAAGAGGACCACTTATGCAGATTATGAGGGGAAATATCCTTATAGTCTACATGTTTGCCTTTCTGCATGCTTACTCTGCTCTCCATCACAAGCTGACTGTTTTTATAAACGAGCTGAAAACATGATAATTCCTTGTTTTAAACGTCACGTCCACATAAGAGTTTTCCTCGTCTAAAAAGGAAACAGGCCTGTTAGGCAGAACACTAATGTTGGTGGACTTCCCTTAAAAACATCATGAGACTTCCTCTACCCGAATGCACCTTAGTGGGTTTTATCTTTTTATCACGGCGTGACAACCTGTATGAAGAAAATGGTTAATATTACAGCCAGAGGGAGGCATTCTTATTCATTCTAAATAGCACAGAATCTAAAACCCTGTGGTGCCGAATGTTTTTTTTTGAGCATGCAACAATGATGCGAAGTATGCTCAGACATACAGGAAAACGCAGGAAGTGCAGCAATGCATGGATGTTGCCAAGGTTTTTGCATGCTCTATAGATTATATATATTTTTTTAGACCTGGCTGTAGACAGAGTGGGAGAGCTCTATATAGAGAGTGTATCCAGGTAATTAACAAGATATTAGGAACCACTCGCATCAATCCAACTGCTGACATAAAGAAGACGTGTACCAAGGCTGCATGACGCAGGTACACTTTAAACATGCGTAGCTCTTTAAACTTGTTTGGGTGGTTTCATTAAGAGAGAATGACACCTCAGAAAGGAAGCAAGTAAACACAACTCAAAATCTGAAGACAGTCAACTAAGAATCAAGCAGGATTTTTTTTTTTTTTTTATAAACACTAGGCTTATTGTTGCATATTTATTCTTTTTATTGATCAAAAGCCTATCTGATTTTTATAAAGAAATGAATTTGTGTAAGATAATTCACTTTTCCTTTTGTTTCCTCCTTACTGTATCTGACATAATCAAACATGTGCATCTTTACTGTTTATATTGGATTTTCTAATTAGTTACAAACTACCGATAACACAAACAGCATGTGAAAAGAGAAAAAAAAATGCTGTAGAACTCAATCTGAGAGACGTTAAAATACAAACTCATTGATGTTGTCACTTAGTGAGAGAAACATGCCATATTCTCCCTGCTGCATCTGAAGAAAAGGTTGTTCATAATGGAAACAGACACTTCTAGGAAGTTGATGTCACAGCAAAAAATAAAAAATAAAAAGCACTAAGCAAATCAATGGACACAGGAAGCTCAATTTAATTGGTCGATACAGTTTAATGTGGGCTGTGTTGCTGCCTGCTGGAAAGAAAAAAAGCCCTGTTAATCCATCAGGCTGCAGGAAAATAAAAGCAGAAATCTAGTCTAGAAAAGTACCTCATTTCAAACCTTTGGTAACATATAAATAAACGTAAAATTTTTAATATGTTTGGTATGTAGCATAATTGGTTTTAGGAGAAACACAGAAAGCAGTTTAATAGTATTGAAGAGAAACTAAGACTTCATTGACAATGGCTTTTTTTATTTTATTTACAAGGGGTGTAGAATACTATCAGCATGTTCTCTGCCTATCATAGCCTTTAAACTATTATAAGACATTGGCAATTTCAACAAAATAACTAACTCGCTGATATATATGGAACTGATTTTGTGACAAAATGAGGATAATGCCTGCAGTGCCAGCGGGCCACATGGAGCCAACTGATATCTGCTGCCACAGGGGAGATGCTGGGGTGAAACGGTTGTTGATGTGGATGTTTTTTTTTAAAGTTCCAGAAACAGATAGAAAATAAATGCTTTTTTCAATGACTGTATGGGACAGGAGGGAGAAAACTACCTAGTCTGTAAGTAGGTCAGGGAATAAAAAATAAAAAAAATACAGTTTTAGCATATTGGGTATCAACTGAAACTGAAACATTACCCATACCTAAAATTAACCTCTGTTTATTTAAATTAAACTTTATATTTTCCTCAGTTACTGTTGCTGTCTTTCTGTGAACATCAATTCCTGAAAGGCCTATCCTGCTACCAGAAAAACAAACAAACAAACAAACAA